TTGAAATGACGTCCTGACCAAACTTCCGGTTGTACAGTACATCCACTCGTGGCCATGCGCACAGCTGAAATAAGCTGAAATGAAGTGGATGCGCGAGACTACAGTTGGAATGGGGTCAAGCCCTGACATGTGCGTCCATGCGTGCTGACGCCACGGTGGGAACGTAGCGGTGCATTCATAATGTAGAGAGTTAGCACCGACGTTTCAAGGGGACCTTAATCTTACCACGGTCGGTCATTTCGCTTGTACTGTTCGACTGGCTTTGCTGTTTGTTTCTGGAAGGCTTTTGCTCCTGTAGACTGGCACATTAAAATTCTAATCTTCCCAATCCCATCTTTTCATTTTCTGAAACTCAATCATTGTCTTACGGAAATCGGTGCTTCCTGAAATACCTATCTATCAGGTTTCTGATCCTACCGTTTAGCACAGACTCGTACTGCAACTTTCGGAACAACACCTGGAAAATGACGTGTTTGTAGGCATCATGGTCAGATCACCAAACCACCCGTCATTAGGTCGTGTCAGCATATGTAGCACAAGTTAGTCTTCTATTTCTCTTGTGGATTCTGCATCCATATAATCATGCATCTCATGATCTGTGACAAAAAGCAAATCTTGTTCTTCCATCGAAGTGGTGGTGACCTTGTCAGTGCCTAGCATTTGTTCCTCACGGTGCTCGCCGCAGTCCTCAACGGTACATAGACACGACCCAGTTACACTGGTTGTTTTATCAGGTCAATGTGCCAGGATGGCGAACACCCTATTGAAAGTAACCGGAAGTACAGCTAGGCCCCGAAATGCTGAGCCACTAAACAACGGTAAAATCAGTGAACAGCATGTCGCGGCCGTCGTAAGACAACTCACCACACGTGTGTCCATCAGTTGCCGTATCATCCAACGCGTGCGAACTCTAAAGCCTGTTACCTTGCTGCCTGGTTCACATAACCACCCATGTCTCCATAATCGGTTACCTAGTAGGTGTCTGTAAAGCCAGAAATAACACGAGATTCTTGAAGGGGACTCGAATCGTTGACCTTCATACAGGACGGGTGCTCCGTTGACTGAGTCGTCGAGGGCCTTCGGTCTCCATCCTGCTGTTCACACGCAGTCACCCGTATGCTAACGTGGGTCTTCAATCCGCATCCCAGACGAACTAATCAGACTGTCGATCTATTGATAGCTTGTTTTTATCAGTGTGGGCGGCTGCTTCGTATGTTCATGCACATTCAGACAAGCACTTGTAGTCACCTGCCAGCTTGCGCTCTATACTCGTGGAGTGTTCTAAAAATACATTGGCGCCAATGATAAGCCCCGTGCGTGAATTCCGGAGCAGATAGTAAGATATCAAAAAGGCATTTGTCTAACTTTCTAACAATTTCTATCAGAACTGAATCCCAGAATGTGAAAAAATCACTTTGATCAGCTAAATCAAAAACACCAAAAAAGTAGAAAATGAGAGCGGAAAAATCAATGGGACCACTTCATAATACCGTCTTTTTCAGAGAACTACCAACGATTGGCCAAAAAACTTTATTTACTTACTTATTTGAGGCACCTGAATTCCAGTCACGTCTCTTGTTTATGATACTTTCAGCTGAATGTGCTGCACAAAGACCGCCTCATGTTTCAGCTGGGACTATATTTGAGATATCGCAGTAGAGTTGGTTGACGAAATGCTGTTCATAAAATTGCTGGAAGCCCTTTGACAGCCTGTGAGGGGTTTCGAATTCCTTGGGGTTCGTCAGGTGGATGTGGTCCACGAGGATTTCAGTTGGGATTTAGTTGATCCTCCTGTTTAAACCAAATTATTAAACAACTGAATGTTATTCGCAATCTGTGTCTAGCTTGGGTTCAATTACAACGCAAGGTTAGCGAAGTCTATTCGTGTACAATTGCCTGATGAGTTTCAGGAAGGACAAAGCCGCTCTCTGGCTATCGAAGAGTTTCCAGGCATATTATGAGAAGTGTTTCGTCAAGCGTTTGATGATATTTCCCCAAGCTTTTTCTCCGAAACTTTCATAAATCACAATGCTATATTTCATAGCTCACGACACATATAGTAGTTCACTAACCGCACTCCTGTGCAGCGAGTGTGCGTAGAAAGTGAGCGTACGTTCAACGTTGTTGACATTGTCTGCTGTCCCACGTTGGCCGCACTATTTGCCGTCTTGTTGTTTTCCTCAACTGGATACATGCCATGACAAACCTAACCACTTGTTCATGAAAGCAGTTTCCGTTTATCCCATCTTAGTTCTCTCTCTCTCTCATCCCAGGAACCGCAAGGTTAGGGATTCAGGAGTATAACGTTTAACCAAACAGCCCAGCGCCACATCAGCATATACTCCGGCAGAACGGTTGCTAACACAGCTTTGGGGACCTAGATGTTTGTCTTTGTATGACAGTGTTGCTGGCATAATCTGTGCGATCACAGTTGCGTGAAGAACAAGAGGAGAAGTCAGCCAGCACAACACTAGCTTGAATGAACAAGATACAGTAGTTTCTTGACGGATCACTGCTCGTAAGTTTACCGAAAAACTCCCATGTGACAGAGCCGGCCACTGAGTTATGATGATCAGCCAACCACGGGCAGTAGTGACAACAGAAAGCCTTCGAACAACTGCACACGCCTACATCAGCAACATCAAATTTCAATATTTAAAACAAAATCACGCAGAAAGCGAATGGTGCGTAATTTAAACGATTTGTGTGATTCATGCGATTTCATTACGCCTCCGAGAGAAGCTCAGACTCCGAACATTGTTGAAAGGAGATTCACTTCTATTGACACAAGGTCAGTTATATCGAATAGCAATGATATACGTTAAGAGCCCGCATCCAGACAGCTTGGCAAACCAAACCTCTATTAGCCTGTGAAAATTGAACTTAACTGGACTGGGGGAATCTCAATACGGGATTCCGCTATATTTTTCCGTATTCCGACGGCCTCATTCCCACCAAGGAGTTAGCAGGCACGGACGCATCAGGTCAGGGCTTGCCCCCATCCTAACTGCAGTCTTACGCATCCACTTCATTTCAGATTACTTCAGCTGTGCACATGGCCACGAGTGGATGTACTGTTTCCGTATTCGACGGCCTCATTCCCACCAAGGAGTTAGCAGGCACGGACGCATCAGGTCAGGGCTTGCCCCCATCCTAACTGCAGTCTTACGCATCCACTTCATTTCAGATTACTTCAGCTGTGCACATGGCCACGAGTGGATGTACTGTCCATGCCCACACAACTAGAAGTTTAGTCAGAACGTCATTTCAACCGTTTTAAGGGCCTGCTTCCAACCCACATCGGTTGGTTTGCCTCGGTCTGAGTTGAGCTCACATCACACGTCTCGGAGGCCTGGNGTCTGAGTTGAGCTCACATCACACGTCTCGGAGGCCTGGGGTGTACGTGAATAGACCAGCTTAAGCGGGTGAGTTCAATGTGACGGGAGTGAGGGTGGGACTACCAGGGGCCTGTAGCTGCCCCGGCGCATGTCTGAGATCGAGAGCACCATATGCAGTGCTGAACTGAGATTCCTAACTTGGTGGTGAAACTAACCGGGAAAGAGGTCCGACTAAGCCGGGAAATTGTGCAGAAGACTGCTTCCCCGCGGCCTGAAGCGCACGGTCCACCCGTCACACGTTGAACGGCTTCAATTAACCGGAACGTTTTTCTGAGTTGTTGGAACACCCGCGGACACACATCCACAAACTAGGTGGGATAATGGAAACCAAGCTGTCCGCGCGTGCTTTTGTTATCAGGTCATCACGTGGCGGAATCCGTTGTGTTCTTGGTTTGTGGATTGCCCACCGAGGTTAACACAAATTTCAGGACAGCCGGACCCATGTAGGGCCTTCGATTGTCTCGAAGAGTTTGGACATTCGATTGGGCATGCAGAGGTGATCAATAGGTGGGAGAACAAATCGTGCGTCACGGAAAGTACGGTGCTTTGTGCGTGTCCGCAGTAGTGAGAGAGCAGCAGGCACTGTTGATGGTTTGATGCGTTCATGTTATTGAAAAACGCTTGAGTATTGTTCTGGTTTACCGTAAGTGCGGAGACAGCTCAGAGACAGCTGCGTGGTTGACTGAGCGCATTGATCGCTGATGTTTGGTTGGATAAGGCATGTTGAAACTGCACGGTAGATTCCCGAGAAGTGGAAGCTTTTGAGCTGTCAGGACGACAGGTAGACGTCGCAGATCGGCGAATGAATTGTCGCCTTACCCGGTTATCTGGTTAGTCGGAGAGAGTTTGCGAGGAGTCGCTCAGCATTCTCACACCTCACTGTATACGTGTCAGAGCCCAAATAACCAAGGCATGGCTTAATTTGTTGTCAATTATCTCACTTTACACAATTCTGGTTCTCGTTTTCTGATTGTACTAGATCGAGCAAGCTGTAGTACTTTATCGATCGTGGTTCTATACACGATGTGAAATGTAGCTGTGGATTGCTCGCTTTCAAATTGACGGAGGGCTATCAATCAAGGTGCAATTGATCTTGTACTTGGCTCTGGAGTTGAGCGAACCCATTGCGTTGCCAAACCTGTGGTCATCTACAGTTGCAACAGAATTTCGAACCCTTCAGTCGAATTTCCACTCTTAGTGCATCCGTTAGTAGAATATCGTTCACCGCTTAACAGCCATGTGCTCGGGCGCACACTTTGACAAAAATGAGAAGAATCCTCGGCTCAGTTCGGCGGAACACATCCCGATATGCATGCTATAGCCCGTGAACCACTCCGTCCCACAACGTCCATATGTGTATCCAAATCGTGGGGCAAGTCCCCGATCGACCCCGGCTTCATCCGTAGCCCATGATCTACTTTGAAACTGGGCACTGAGTGAACTGACAGAGGAAGGTGGCGTGTTGATACAAAGGAAATACTGTGATTTTATCTGCCATATCGATAACGACACTCAACAGACCTGTAACTGTTTTCCCACTGACCACGCTTGCCCTTACTCGTGATCTGTCTTGGTGTTAAGACTGAGGAAAGAAAAGCCTGAAAAGATTTTTCCGTAAAAGCTGATTTGGTGAGACATAATACTTTCATATTATTCCCGGCTCACTCGGAAGTTTGGTTTGCTCTGCCGATATCTTGACTTTGGCAGTTGCCCAATAACTAGTTCATGGGTCGATGGATATGCCTTAAATCTCGACCAACCTCGGAACGT